GCGCCTATAAATTAGCTGAAGTTGGAATGTGATTTGGTGTGATTTTATCACTCTTTTTCTACAGTTGATGCAATGCATTTTATCAGATGATGGAAGCAACTAACGAAGAGATTTATGAATGTATAGTTCATTTTCTTATTTTGAATCGTAGAAAAAATAAAATCAAACATTATAAAACTCGGGTTTTTTTTTTGGGTGTAATCTTTCCTATATTTTATCTTTATTAACAAGTTTCTGTGATAAAACTACTCTCTTATTTTTATTAAAAAAATTTGAACACAACATGGACTGATTGTGTGGAAGATTTTTATATTGAATATTTTCAACCCATGATAGAGCTTGTTTATTGCGTTGCTGCTGTCAATTTCATTGTGTCCTGTTTCTTATCTATATTGGTTTCTTGTGATTTTTTATTTTTTTTATTTTTAATATAGAATTATTTATTTGTTTTTGACAATCTTATTGACTAAATTTTGGGTTTCCCATATATTCGTTTATTCTCTTGTTAATTATATTCTCACACAAAAATAATTAAACTAACAAAATAAGAGAATATCACAAATCTTTTATGTAATTAGAAAACTAGTACGAAAAGGAAATTTATTAAAAGAAAAATCAAACTTAAACCCTAATAATGAATCTAATACAATAGTTTTCAAGAATCAATCAAAACTACCTAATCTAAAGCCAACAATACTATGATGATCACGTTATTACATCATATACGATAATCATAAAAATATTATCAATCTAGAATTACGGATCGGCACATGGGACAAGAATTATGTGATTCCAACCCTGGCTCAATGCAGCGATGATGAAAAAGATGAGAACATGGCATGGAATGGAAGTAAGCTCTGTTCCTCCCTAAATTCCTCTAAACAAACAGCACAAGTAGTGCACTTTTCATCATCTCCTTCACCATTGAACTCCACTACTTTCTTCAACCTATCAATGGTGGCCTTTGAAACACCCCTCCTCGCCCTCATCCTCGTCCTCATTGCCTCTACAGTTTCATCAACACCACCTCCATCCTCCACGATAACCACCCCATCTGCGGCTAGCATATCCGTCATCATATCGTCTATCGATTGCGCAGAAATCAACTCCATCGTGGTGGTGATTTTCAAATCCACAATGACTTGAAACCCAAGACTCTCCCCATATTCAATAATGAAACCGGAATGAGAACTAATGCGTTCCTTCGTGGAATTGCAGGGTTCGAGATTGAAACCCCTGGACGAAAGCTGGTTGAAAACGTAGGGATCCCACGAAGCAAAGAAGGGGAGATATTGAAGAGGAATGGTGAAGTCATATTGAATATCAGGAAAAGCATAGGTAGGATAATTGGATTCAACATTGCCTTGATGAGTTTGCAACCGTAATTTAACTAGATTGTTGACATGTATTTCGATTAGCCTTGGAGTTGGAGCTGGAACTAGAGGTAGTGGGTTGATCTGTGGTGTTGTATATGTCTGAATTAGGCCTATCAACGGGTCGAATCCGGGTCGGATCTATCAAAATCCGATCCGATCCGATTAACTACTAATCTGAATCCGAATCCGAGCCCGATTATTAAAAATCCGATTACTTGCAATCCGATCCGATCTGTGTTAAACAGATATCCGATCTATATAATCCGATTTGATCCGATCCAATTCGTTTTTTTCCCCCCTCTTTTTCTCCCCCCTCCCCCTTCTCTCTCTCTCTCTCTCTCTCTCTCTCTCTCTCTATTGTGTGGTTAGTAACCATAGACTCTCTCTGGTTAGCAACCATAGGCCCTACCAGTAGTAGCAAAATGATACATAATGAAAAACCCAATAAAAAAAAATTACATGAAAAGTTATAATATCATAAACAATTGTCATTTTTATAAGCTTGAAATTTGAAAATAAAATTTAAAGTTAAAACATATGAAGAAATAATAAATAAAAAAAGTATAGGGATCTAACATTGCCATTTTCCTTCAAGGTTTTCCATAAGGAGACCTCCCCAAATATCTCACACTTTCTCGGATTTTTGAAATAAGACTCCCAATCACCTTCAAACCATCTTGAACAACTAAATTTAATATGTGCGCGCTACAACGTACATGAAACAACTGTCCACCCAAATGTAGTAATCCTTGGCCATGTAGCCATTGCTTTAAGAGTCTCACCATGACATCATTACTTGTCGCATTATCAATTACCATTGAAAACAACTTCTTATCTATGTTCCACTCTAAAATTAGATCTTTGATAAAACTAAACAAATGGTCTCCATCATGCGGGTAATCAATGCGTCTATAAGCAAGGATTTTCTTCTTTAACTCCCAATCATTAGTCACATAATGGGCAGTCAAACATGTATAGGCAAAATTCTGATGGTCTGAAGTCCATATATCAGTTGTCAAGGTGATCTTAGAAGAGAGTTCATCCAAAAATTGATATAACTTGGCCTTTTCTATTTCATAAACATCAAGGACATCCGCTCTAACAGTGTTACGAGACACAAGTTTGAATATTGGTTGAAGATTATTGCAAAATATTTCAAAAAACTCATGCTCAGCCATGTTAAAAGGATAATTATGCTTGATTATCATCCTAGAAAAATCGATACGACTTCTCTCTTGATCGAATTTAAAAGTTACAGCCTTAGGAGTAGATTCAGAAGCAGCCTTACTAGCATTCCTAGGGGCATTTAACCCTTTAAGTACTGGGCATGTCTTCGACAAATGATTTTTTAAATGACTAGTCCCTTTCCTACTCTCTCCAACAAATTTCCTATTGCAATGCTTACATCTAGCTATGTCATTTCCACTAGGTCCTTTAAATTTCACAAAGTCATCCCATACCTTTGAAGTTAGTTTTCGAATCCTCTTTGTGGGTCCTTGAGATACATCGTCATCCAACTCGGCATCATCAGGAATAATAGGTTCGCTATAATCCGAAGACATCTTTGGCTCAAAAACTCAAATATGCACTGCACAAGAAATCAAACATAAAGGAGCAGGAGTTCATTTAAAAACAGTGTGCACCAATTTGGAAATTATATAGATTTGTGTGCATGCGATCAATCTACTGTAAAGGCATGTGGAATTCATTTAAAAACAACAAAATTGATAAGCAGCTATCCCATTACTAAGTCTTTGCAGAGGATATATAAGATGGTATAATGCACCAACCATAATAGATATATAATTAGTGGAAGATATATAAGATGGTGGAGCTCTAAAGATGCATGTACTACAAGGGAATTTAAACCAACATCCTATCATTGAGACCCACAATTTCCAAAACCTATGGACACCAGTCATCTATATTATTTGGGAGTAATTATGGAGGATACAAATTGCAGTGTATTCATGGGGTCTATTGAAGGTAACCCTCTCTTCCTCTCTAATTGGTGTTAATTGTTTTTAAGATTCTACTTAATTAGTTCATATTTTTGTGTAAGTGAAGTGAAATAAAATTCTTGATTTAAAATATTGATGAACTTAACCAAATTTGTGGAAATCATATTATTGTTCTATAATTAGCAACTGTAATCTATAATAGACTTAACATTCACCTGTCCTGCTATGTAGCAATTCTCCTTCCTCATATCCTGAGTTGATTAGATATAAACTGCTATGTAGTAAGGCTGTGTTGGGGTCATGGAATTGGGGTAATGATTTGAAAATGGAAAGGAAAATATGAGGGAAACAGTGGAAAAAACACAGCCTAATAGACAAAAAACACCAAGTTGAAATAGTTTAAATAAATCAACCGACCCCCTGATTCAAAACTGATAACAAAAATATGATATTACATTCAACAAACAACCCAAAGTACCCATCCAATAACAAATATATAGAGTCCCAAAAACATCCAAGAAAATGTTTCAGAATTGATTTTCCATTCAAACAAACAACCCATACCTCTTATATAAAGGAGAAACACAAGCACAAGGCAGTAAAAAGTAAATACAATGACAAACACAAACGGATCAGAGAGCTCACCAAAGAATACCTAGATCAAAGAAGTCGGAGAAGAAGACGATGAAAGATAGATTTGATATTGACCAGAGAGCTCACCAAAGAATACCTAGATCAGAAACGGCACAGAGCTTGATTTGGCTAAGTTCATTGTCGTCAATCGGAGTAGGAAGAGACGATTGGAGAGAGATTTGCTTACGAGAGAGATCTAGGTATTCTTTCATGAGAAATGCTGAAAGAGACGATGAGAGAGATTTGATTCTGAGAGATTTGATATGGTTTCTAGGAATTTAATCGGATTAGGCAAACAAATGGACCAGATCGGATTTATCCGAATCCGAACCGTTTTAAATCGGGCTATGCAGATTCGGATTAAACAGATTTTCGGATTCAGATATGTAAAAATGGATCGGTTTAATTGGATCGGATTCGGGTTATACCCGATCCGTTGACAGGCCTAGTCTGAATGTCATAACTCCTTAATAAAGTTACCATGATGAAGCTATAGAGAGAGTGTTGGAATGTTGACTATGAAGGTATGCGGTGAGTGACCTTATTTTCAGTAATGCTAGGTATCATGAAATTTTTTTCATGATCATGAAAAATTTGTGACTTTTGGATTACACTTAGAATAAAGTATCACACATTAATCAAGGTAATCTAAGGATCACAAATTTTTCATGATCATTTTCATGAAATTTTTTTCATGATTCTTAACATTTCTCCCTTATTTTGTAGTAGTCAAAGAATTTTATTTTTTGATTGAGTTCTCATATGTAGAAACCTTAGTTCTATTAAACTTGGGATTTAAAACAAACCAACTTTTCCCAGATATTAGGAAACCACAAATTTAACTTTCCAATATGACTTAGGATTCCAAATGTAGAAACTCAACCAAAATTAGGAAACTAAAATGGGTTTTCAAATATGGAAACTCAAAACGGCTATAAAATCAAGTAATCTTGATCTTCATCATCTCCATTCCAACAATCTCATTCTCACTCTCTCTTTCTAGCTTTTGTCAATGGCAACTATATCAACAGACTACAACATTCAGATGTATCCATTACCATGGATCGACTCACTTCCTGAAACTCCAGTTCTTGTCAAAATTCACATGACCCATGTTCTCAAACTACAGGTCCGAACTCCTCAAGGCAATATCAATACCAATTATCCCACATTCACTGCTCCAGATTTTCAAGATTCCTTCACCATTCCTTATCACTTTCTCTCCTCCATCGCTTCTTCCGAATTCTATATTTTCCACCGACTCTACGACATGGGATTCGATCGTAGTTTATGCGATCTCCTGAAGCAGCATATCATCGATTCCGTATTCGATCTTGATAGGTTGCGATTTGGGAACCATAGTGGGATTCAAGTCACTGCTCGGTTCAAACTCACCACCACAACGACTTACGATCAGATGGTCTCTACGTTGGCAGAGGAGGTGGTGATTATGGAGGATGGTGGTGGGTCTGTACAGAGGAGGAGGGGAGCTTCGAAAGCCACTATTGATGGGCTGAAGAAAGTGGTGGTGTTCAATGGTGGAGTAGATGACGAAAAGTTCAGGACTTGTGCTGTTTGTTTGGAGGAGTTTGGGGAGCAAACAGAGGTTACTTCCATGCCCTGTTCTCATGTTTTTCATCATGGTTGCATTGTGCCATGGTTGAAATCACATAATTCTTGTCCGATGTGCCGATATGAAATTCCAGATGTATAATTATTAGGATATTCATATATTTTTACGTTGTAAACAAAAAAATAGATAATTTTGATAGATTTTTGCAAAATTTTATATGCTCGTTCATTATGATTTAAGTTTGATTTTTGTTTTAATTGTTGATTGTTTGAATGTGCTTAAATTTTTCTTTCATTCTCAGTAACTCCAAAAATAAACCAGTCAAATTCAAACAGTAAATTTTTAATCAGAATTTTACTTTACCTAAAATTACAAAACAAGTAGGAAAATTCTATACTAAGGAAGTTACTATTTTTAAAAATGAGGTGATTTTTAAAAAAAACACAAAAATGATGAGAAATAATTTGGCGTTGATCCCATTGGTTAGTAATAAAAGAGCCCTGCTAAATACCCCAGTGAGGTGGCGCACCGCGCCCCCACTGGTCAGAAATCAAAAAAAAAAAAAAAAAAAAAAAAACAATTTTTTCCCGCCCAATCACGGGACTCCATCTCACTGGGGGTCGACCCCCAGTGGGGGTATAAAGCATTTTTCGTGATAAAATAAGTATATGAAAGATTTCCCTCGAATTTACCAATTGGACCAGTGGACGGGGTCCAATTTTAGGGGATAGTAATCTCTTAACTTACCAATTTTGGGGGAGTAATCTCTTAAAATAAGCATATGAAAGATTTATTTTCTAAAGTTTTTAATATAAACCATCTGTCTATTTTACCAACAAAAAATAGTATTTTAGATTTTTTGTATATACTTACATTAAATTTAATGATTAAAATATCATTTTCGGTTGATTTTATTTAATGAAAATAGAATTATGGTTTAGATTAAAAACATTAGGGTTTACATTTATAAAATTAAAAATTCAAAGTTTCTTTTGTTGGAATTATTTAACTTTTTTTTTTCCTGCTGTAAATTTTCTTACATTAGTTCTCTCTTATTTTTATTAAAAAAATAAAAAATGCTCTGTAGCCCGAAAAACTGAGACTCGAATGACTCGAAAGGTACGGAAAATATTATCTTACTGGTAAGAGAATAAAAAAAATTCCTAAAACGACGTCGTTTTGAGATTTCAAGCCATTCGAGCCTTTGATTTTTCGAGCTTCGTAGCGGTGTTGTAAAAAAATTTGAACACAACATGGATTGATTGTGTTAATGATTTTGGTATTGAGTGGTATTTTGAGAAGTTGGTAAAAAGTTAATTTTTTGACTTTTTTGTGGCTTTTTGGTTTTTTTGCGCCAAAAGAATGGATTTTTTGTGTAAAAAAATCTAAAAAACTAAAAAACTGACTTTTTTGAAAAGTTCCCAAAACACCCTGAATATTTTCAGCCCATGATAGAGCTTGTTTACTTTGTGTGGCTGTCAATTTCATTGTTTCCTGTTTCTCATCTATATTGGTTGCTTCTGTTTCTTGATTTTTCTTTTTTTTTTTTTTAGGGAATAAAATTATATTTACTAATTTTGTTTTTTTTTTTTACAATCTCATTGACTAAATTTTGGGTTTTCCATATATTCGTTTATTCTCTTGTTAAATATATTCTCACATACAAATAATTAAACTAACAAAACAAGGGAATATCACAAATCTTTTATGTAATTAGAAAATCAATTCAAAAAGAAAATTTGAAAACAATTAACAATTAAAAGAAAAATAAAACTTAAACCCTAATAATGAACCTAATACAATACTTTTCAAGAATCAATCAAAACTACCTAATTTGAAACCAATAATACTACGATAATCAGGTTATAACACCATATCATCATGAAAATATTATCAATCTGGAACTATAGATCGACATGTGGGACAAGAATTATGTGATTCCAGCCAGGGCACAATGCAGCGATGATGAAAAAGATGAGAACATGGCATGGAAGTAAGCTCGGTTCCCTTCCCATATTCCTCTAAACAAACAACACAAGTAGTGCACTTTTCATCATCTCCTTCACCATTGAACACCGTCACTTTCTTCAACCCATCAATGACGGCCTTTGAAACACCCCTCCCCGTTCTCGTGCTCGTCCTCATCGTCTCTACAGTTCCAACACTACCATCATCGTTCACGATAATCGCCCCATTTGTGGCTAATAGATTCATCATCAAATCTATCGATTGTGCAGAACCCAGCCCGAGCGTGGTGGTGATCCTTAAATGCACGATGATTTGAAACCCAAGACTCTCCCCATATTCGATAATCAAACCAGAAAGAGAACTGATGATGCGTTCCTTCATGGAATTGCAGAGTTCCAGATCGAATCCCATGGACGAAAGCTGGTTGAAAACATAGGGATCCCACGAAAAGAAGAAGGGAAGAAGTTGAAGAGGAATGGTGAAGTCATATCGAATATCAGGAACAGTTAAAAATGTAGGATAATTGGACTCGATATTACCTTGGCGAGTTCGGAGCTGTAGTTTAACTAGATTGTTGACATAAATTTTGATGAGCGCTGGAGTTGGACCTGGAACTAGAGGTAGCGGGTCTATCTGTGGTGTCCCATATGTTTCAATGTCATAGTTTCTTAACATAGTTTAGTACTAGTCAGAAGAGTTTAATATTTGGTTGAGTTCTAGTATTTAGAAACCTAAGTAATATTGGACTTCCATTTGGTTTCTTAAGCTTCTAATTTTGGTTGACTTTTCACATTGGGAATCCTAAATTATATTGGAAACTGAATTTCGTTTCTTATATGTATATAGAGAATTCTATCTACCATGAAATTTTACCTCAAAAATAATTCTTAATGTTAAATGTATTTTATAAATTTATAATTGATAAAATGTGTGTTCCACTCAAAATAAACGTGATTCATAAATATAAAAAAATTTAAATATTTTTTTATTTTTGGAAAATGATTAGGTAAGAAATTCATTTTATTTTATGTTTTTTTACACTTACTTTGCCTACCATTGGAAACTTTGTGCATGGGGATTCTTTGTTGTTCAAATTTTGAAATTAAATAAATAGATTTATGAAGAAATCAAATTATATATATACTAAGAACACATGCTAATAATTACAACTAAATTTCAACAGAAATACACAAAAAAACGACAATGGCAGACAAGTGCATATCATCCTCCTCATGGGAGTGCTCTTGTAAATCTGCCATATGAGC